AATACAAGATTCCTTATAAAATTATCTACCTTTATCAAAAAAAAATGTCTATAAGAAATTCAAATTAAATTTTAAGAGCATTTGAAATTCAAATTTTTACAACATTGGATATTCATTCGATTTCTCATGTAGCGATTTTCTTATTTTGTTGTAATTCAAAAACGAATAACTGTAGATACATGAAAATTTCACTGAATGTTTATTTTATCAATTCTTATACTTGATAAAATTTTCAAAATATTTTGACTTGTTTTGAGCTGTTTACGAACAATTTCATATTTCAATTTTTTTTTTTATTTTTTTTTCTATGAATATCAATAAAGTTTTATCTGTTGGGCCAAAAATGCAAAAATGTAATACAAGGCTATTGATATATTGTTACAATAGCAATTGAAAAATATTAAAAATACATAGGCATAATTTTTTTTTAATAAGTATTTAAAGATCGAATTTTGACAAAATTAACCAAATTTAAAATTGAATAATTATTTTGTAGTTAAAAATTTATAAAATGTTCAACTTTTATATCTAAGGGTTAAAATATTAAAACAAAATTCCATGTAAGTAGTTAATTCTATTACCAAAATGTCTAAAAAAAAAAACGTAACGAAATTACATATTATTAAAAAACCTAGAATAAATATTTTAGTTATTTGGTTGTGATTGTATAATATTATTAGTGGGGACTTGAAAATTCTCAAGTGTACTATTATATATCTATGATAGTATCACGGTTTTTGTTGATGTATAACGCGTTATAAGTACCTAATGGATATTGTGATATGATTAATTAATAATTTGGAATTTATTATAGGTATTTACTTATTATAGATCAATTTTTATTTAATACCATAGATAAGTATATATCTAATATGTCTTATACAGTTATACCTAGACTGACATACCGTCTCCGCTCAGAATCGTTTTTCTTAAACAATGATATTATATCATTGGATTCAAATTTAATACCATCCATTATACAGTGACCCACTGGCCACTTGTAACCTACTGTATAGCAGTGACTTTTTTTTTTGGTAAATTAATTATTTATTACAGCTAATATAAGTACCAGGTACCAACCTAATAATATTAGGTAAAACTATATAACTATACCTCATAGACCTATTAACTACTAACTTTAGTTAATAGATCTATGCTATACCTACCTATAATCATTGTGATATATCATATAATGTTAGTAGGTAGTAGGTACATGTATAAATGCATCATAATTTACATAGGTACTTTTAATTAAGTAATGCAAATTCGTAGAATAATCTGCGTACGAACATACTACCCATTATACGTATATACGTATATTTGCACTACGTATATCAATACTCAAAACATAGCTCAAAATAACTTCAAAAAGTTATAAGTTATATAACTTTGAAACTATAAGGTCGACCAAAAAATATTCTGGGAGCTAAACTGCGCAATGTTTTGCCGTATTACAATCGAAGTAATATTATCTTAGTTAGGTACCTACATATTATGTATATATATTACCTAGTATTATAGTTAAATATGTAAATACTGAATTACTTAAATATGGTTTGCCAGTTTTAAAAAAAAAGTCTGGGGAGATACACCTAAATTTCCCCATAATTATACGCGCAACTGGCCCCGGGTGGCCGGGTTCCTACATATCTTATCGAGTACCTAAGTCCTACATAAATACACGAGCTGGGTCTGGCCTATTTGGCTATTTATTTGGGAAAACTTGAGTTACTTTAGTGCAGCCTACGTTACCATGGACTCAGTAGTACCCATGTACCTACCCAAGTATCCCCAAAATTTAGTTTCTTGTAACCTATAGGTACCTATACATACCTATATCTATCTACACTGATGTATAAAATGGTTATTAGATACCTAATGTTTTTTAATAAGATTTACATTAATATATAGCATAATAGTTTTTGTTCGTAATATTAATATTCACGTTAACTATATTAGATACCTATAGGTAGGTAGCTTAAATTTGTACATATATATTAATCATCTATCCTAACTTTTATATGCCATTGATAGCCATAACCACAAAAAAAAAAAGGTATAAAGTACCTATTAAATATAAAGGTAGGTAACACACTCACTATAAGTAAGACTGTAAGTTATAACTACCCATAGGCTTACCTAATCCGGGGTAAATTCTTGGGGGTGGGGCAGTCTGTGGTAAAACTAAAAATCTATAAAGTAAAATGACAATATTGCCTCAGTTAAATATTTGAGGGGGCAGTTTCCCAAAATGTCCCCCCCCCCAGATTATATAACTATGCCTATAAGGCTATAACTACCAATAATAGGTAGGTAAGTACCTACTACCTAGCCAGTAGTCACCTAGACTATAACCTACAACTTACCCATGTTCTTACTTGTTTCAGTCTCGTTATGCACTTGTCGTCAAAGAAGCCTTCACATGTATGCAAAATGCAAAGATTAACATTGTTATGCATAAAAACTCCTCGAATTTGGCAAATGGTAATTCTGGGTACATCGAATTACTAGAAGCAATTGAACCAAATAATAACTTACAGGTAAAAATATTTGTAGGTAGGTACCTACTTATTTATTTATCAGTTATCATCATTCTATTGTGGTGTAGGTACTGATGTAATAATACTATAATTTACAATATATTAATTACCTAATTGGTTACCTATTTATTGAAATAATTAATATTTAATAATTAGAGATACAAGACAAACACCATTAATACCACGGACTAAGATATATCTTAGTTATAGTAGGTACCTATATTATTACATCAGTTAGTACTAATGTTAAACATAAAAAAGTAGGTAGGTATCAAATATCTACCTATATTTTTATACACAACCCCATTCTCTTAAACCAATGTTTTAAAAATAAATTAATGTTTAAATTACATACAACATAACCCAATTTTGTTATGAATAATTTTATTATAGGAATAATCTAGATTTTAGACAACCACATAATACCTAGATACCAGTAGGTAGGCAGTTGTCACATAATTGTAATTATGTTTGTAATATGTATAACCACCAAACAGTAGATTAAGTTGATATGCAATTTGACACATTTATTATTTTCTTACAGTTATTAATTATTACTCTTACCTACTTGCTTATAATTAGATTTATGAATGAGAATGATAGATGTTATATTTTAGGTGAACATTGAAAGCCACCACAGAGGCATAAGTAATTTGGCCAGAATGCCTTCATTAAATGTCCAGAAAACAGATATTTGTAATTATATTTCCACAGATTTGTTATTTGTACCATTAATTAGACAGATGTTTGATTTAGAAAAATTCTGTCCTATTGCCAAAGTAAATTTATTTTTAGTCCTAAAAAGTTATTTTATTTTTACCTAATAATTTATTTAATTTGACATTTCAAAGGGTAAACACATTGTTTATAAAAATACACTTGTTTCTAAGTATCGGCCTTACATTCCACTGGGCTGCTGGATGATTATAACTAGAATCACCAAAAAAGAATCACCATTCACATGTTTTAACATTACTCTTCAATCATTGCCATCAATGAAATCGGAGCCCTACCGTTGTACATAATTGTTTTTTTTTTTAAATATGTATTTGGTAATTCTCATTTTTAATTAAATATACCTATATTATAGGTATGTAATATTTATTATTTAAACATTTAAACCATGGATTCAAGATATATTATAACATATTAAATAAATCATTATATTATAAATACCATTAACTATGAATCAGGTGTTGTACCTACACTACAAATCTATAATTATTATTATACAAATTAAAATGTAAGTATACAATCGTAGTTATCAGTTATCACACTTATGGGTATAAAAAAATTGAAATATTTAAACTTGGCAATTCTGATTACTGAAAGGTAGTTTAAATTTAAAAGTGTAATACAGTTTATATTAATTTGGCGAAAAGATCTAAGTATGATAGCAATAAACTATAATATACATCTTAAGAATATATCAAATCATTTATTTGAAGAAAGTGAGAAAAGTACAAATGTTGTTTAATATAAATTATATGCTTCCTTTACAATTTTGTTTCAAAGTATCTTTACTTCATTCCTCTTTATGTCCAACTTATAAAATAAATGTTACTATAACATGATAATATAGTTGAATTGAATTTGTCTATTTGAGGAGCTTTTTTGTATCTATCTATAACTTTGTCATTTTTTAGGATGTATATTATTTTATTTGTGTACTTATATATTATGTTGATTAGATTTATTACAAAGGTGTGTGGTGTAATTTAATCTTGTTTTATGAAATAAAAAATACTTATACTTGTGTATTTTTATGATTTTTTTTTTAAATTTTAGTTTTATTGTGATTGATTGTTACCTACATTTATACAAATTGGATACGTTATATAACAATACTACCTAGTATAATATCCAATTATAAAAATTGAATTTGAAATTTCTATAAAAACAAATTGTATATAATAGGTGAAATGTTGCTTTTGACTCCCACTTCAATTAACCCTTTTACCACCCTTAAAGTTGAATATTGAAGTATTTTTATTTTTCCAAAGCGTTGATAGACAAAGAAATACTTTCAAAACACTACTTAAAATTAAAAATATTGTTTTTAATCATTGCAGAACTATATTAATAAAATTATGAATTTCAATTTCATACATACAATAAAAGTTTTTTTTATTGTTATTATTTAATATTCCCAAAATAATTACTTAAAAAAATTATGTCTTGCGAACACCTATTATGATTATTATATATTTGTATGTACCTACTTACAATACATGATTATAATTTAGGTATACATTATGTACCTATTTTTATGAAATAATAATAATAATTTAAATACTGTTTTTGATGTGACTTTTTTGTTATTATTGTAACATTTATAAAAGAACATGATTAAATTAATTAATATTTAAATGACAATGGAAATATTATAATAATTTCTGTTTTTCATAATTATGTCCAAATTGATAAATCTACAGTATAAATATATTTTTGAGCCTTAGATCATGCCTGATAACTTTTGGATGAACTTTGGCCTAAAGAAAGTCCATCATCTTCACTACTAGTTTTTTTAACAAACGATGGATTTATTAAAATAGCTTCATCCATCATTCGTACTGTACGGCTAAATGATATCTTATTTGTTACCTAAAAAATCATAATATTAATATTATATAATTAATGTCTCACAAATTATAAATATTTTTATGAATTTACTTCATCTAAAATTTTTTTTAGAACACTTGGGTCTTCATATTTCTTGGGTGGATCATTAAACATAATTGTACCTTCTTTACGGTTGATCTTGCCATAAATTTCACCAGATTCAATCTATAATTGTAACTTTGTAAGTATATTTAATATTTTATTTAAATTTTTCTTGTTTTAAATACCATGGCCATTAGATGTTCTTCGGCTTCTACTATGTTAGGAAGATTGATTCTTTGTGCTAAATCAGAAATTGACATATTCAAAAAAGTGTTGGTCAATTTATGTATATTCTTTCTGTGCAATGCTTTTACAACTTGTTTTACTAATCCTTTATTATTATCTCTATATTAGTGAACAAAAAATCTCGTGTCAACTTGATAAGTTTAGAATTACAAAAATAAAAACAAACCTTAGATAAACATCATGGTATTTGTTGATTGTCCTTTGTAGTTCCTCTGGATCACCACTTTGATATGCTGGTATTATATCCAAATATGCTTGACACACAGGTTTTAGCACTCTTTCAATGAGGGCTGGTGATAACTTTGGAAGTGCAGGTACAGTTCCTAAATGTATAATTGAGACCAAAACAAATTTCTTATATGATTCTATCATGATTTGAGACAGCATAGGAAGTAAAGTTGTAAGAGCAATTTCAAAGAATGTAATTGCTCTTGAATAATTCTTCATTGCAGAGTAGATTACACCACCCAAATAGTAGTAATTTAAAAAAAATTTTGAATCAAATGTTACGCCAGGCTGAAACAAAATTAATTATAAAATTACTTTAATTTTGTAAACAAATAAAAATTAAATTATATTAAGATTTAAGTTTATATTAAGTTTAATTAAATATAACTGTATCGAAGATTCAATACAAAAATGCATACATGGGATCTTTTTTTAAATATAATCTACAGATAATTTAAGACTAAAATCCTCAAATTACATGTTCAAAAAATGAAGTGACAAAAGAAATATTAATATGAAATTTCAAGATTTTTAATTTAATATTATAAATTAGAGTTCAGTTTTGGTAGGAATTAATTTAATTATTTTTCATTTTGGTCTAGTATAAAATAATATATAAATTTTATCCATACTGCAAAGAATATTATGCTCTTGGTATAACAAATTTCGATGTAACAAACTTTCAATATAAGTACCAAACTTTTTCCTCAGTCCCTTGAAATATGTTTTATCTCGAGTTGATTTTATAAGGAAATAAGAATTTAAAGCTAGTAAATACCTTGAAGTAAAAAATGTTTTTAATTTTCTAAACACAGAATTTATATGATACTTTTAAGTTTCAACTGTGTAGTATGTGATTTTCTTTGACATAGTTTGTAATTTGTTATTTAAACATTATTAGTCTAGTACTATCTATAGTATACAATAATAGATAACTTTATCAATATTCGGACCAATGTCCAATAGGGCAAATAAAACAAAAAACGAATGAATAATAATGAACAAATCATATATGAACGGGTCTTTCAGATGACCCGATCCAAAGAATCGAATCGTTCAATTGACCCGTTTTGCCCATCACTACCTAAAATATCTTGGTAGATAGGTATAGTATATTAAAAAATAATAGCGATATTATTTATTAACAAAATGGCTACTAATTTTTAGAGCAACCAATTACTAATGAGTCCTACCTACAATTAATAATAATAATAATACTCACTTCATCAGTTCCCAATACATATATATCCTGATCCAAAAGACTTAGGGCGGGCTTAAGATTATTGGACATTAAACAGGCTTGACATAAAAGACAATGAAGTTGAGTTAATTGATATGGTTTCTCCTGCAGTTTACATATAGCCCGTCTTATTATTGGAATAGCAGACATAGGTTTCTCCATATCACCAAGGTTAGTCAACATGGATTTCATCACATTAGCCACTATAAAACAAGATCAAATAGTATATACAATATACTACAAAAATAAAATTATAAATTAACTTACATGGTTCAGCCAAAACTCTGAGTTCATCTTCACTGATAGTAACAACAAAGTCATTAATTTGCGTCGCTATTGCTGTATGATATTGAACTCCTGGTATATCCGGGGGTTTTTGGGCAGTAGCTTTAACACCCAAAACAGTAAGTACTGTGATTGAGTTCTCATGAACATCAAGTGCCTCAAGAACACTATCTAAATTAGTAATATATTTATGTAGTGTTTCCGACTGTTTGGAAAGATATTCGGTAAGTTCACGATTGTCAGCTGCAAAAAAATTATTTACACTTAATATCAGAAGGAAATGTAAATTCAATATAATATTTAGTTATTATGACAAATAACGTTATTATGACAAATAACGTTATTATTAATTAAATTGGTAAGCAATCTGCTTTGTTTGAAAACAGTCTAAATTTAGAAAATAGGGAAATCATTTAAATATGATTGGTAGGTACCAATTTATCATTGGTATTTAAACATTTTGCAGAGTTTAGTGTGGGTAGGTATCTAATTCGTACTCACCCGAGTTGTCCAAATTTCTGACGGTCAGCACGAACTGGTCAAGTTGAGGGACCGCTATGTCACTGTCCATATTTTTTTCGCAATTTAATGTTTATAAATTTATAGTAATAAATATTATTAATTTCAAGTCCGTCGTAAAACAATTTGACAAAGAGTAATGTGTTTATATTGTGTATGTACTATATGTAGCAAGAAACTCACTCAGGACGTCTCCACTCGGCATTCACCGTCCAGTCTTCAACCTTATGATAATATGATTAGTTCTGTTGGGTTTATAGTTGGCAGTGTGTCACACAAACAAATTTAACAAAATTAAATGTGCGCCAATTATACCGCGTTATGGGTTAAGTGGTATCAACCATGATTAGGGCGAAAAGGACGATAACAATCGGCAATAAATAATAAACACTGCATAAAGTATCAAAGTATATTAAACAATATTCGCTCTTGGTATAGAATCGTCTTATGTCACTCCATTAATCACAATTTATTGGTCTGTAGCACGATTAAAGATATAATTGTGGTCTCTAGTCTTCATGACAGTTTCATGCCTTTATTGTCTAGTTTACGCCGCATACAAACTAGGAACATAGATATTAAAGAACACAACCCTTATCACATAAGGTGATGGTAAACGTCACGGACTAAGATATACAGGACTGGACACGAGATGAATATTGTGGTTACGAAATGTTTTACAGCAGGCGGAGTTCGGGGGGATATTTTCCTTTTAGCATTACTAGCGCCGTCTTAGTGGATACTTATGGAACTAGAAATTTGTATGATGTGTTCTAGTTCCATAAGTATCCACTAGGACGGCGCTAGTAATGCTAAAAGGAAAATATCCCCCCGAACACTGCCTGTTGTAAAACATTTCGTAGTCAACCCCCCCACACCCTCCAACCTTGTCGTGTCTAGTCCTGTATATCTTAGTCCGTGGTAAACGTATAGTAAACATGATTACGACCAATCAGTGGGCACGATCATGATTAAAGATTTAAAGATATAAGATAACTTGGTAGCCGGCAAATCGATGACGGAGTTAGGACGTGAATGTGAAAATATATAGTTTCAGTCTTTCAGATTCAGATCGCAGTCCGCAGGGCGCAGATTCGGATCTCGGAGTGACTCGGACGTGTAAATAGTACTCATTGGTCACTATTATACATTTTTTAACATTTATTTTCACAGCCTTCAGTAAACCGATTATCAAGATGCCCGAAGGTGTTGAAGAAGTTCCTACCATCGGCATTATTTATCCACCACCAGAAGTAAGGAGTATCCTTTATTTGACGACATTGATTATGTTAATTTTATTTTGAATTTTTTTTTTGTTCTACAAAAAACCTAAAGTTTTGTACATATTACATAGTAATTAGTAGTGATTATATATGACATCTATTTAGGTATATGAGTATACAATAGTTAATAGTTTACTAAGTTATTATTGTATAACTTCTCTGAAAAAAATAATGGGATCACCTATGGACAGAGAATCCAGTCTTATTGCACGGGAGCAAGGGTTGTACCAAATTTTATTAGCGATTTCATAAATTTCATCACTAAGCTATAATGTATATAATATGTTTGTAATTCATTGAATAGTTTCTTAACCGCCTCTAAATCAAGATATTGTCGATAAAACTGCCAGTTTTGTAGCACGAAATGGACCAGAATTTGAGTCTCGTATTCGTCAAAATGAATTGGGCAATCCCAAATTCAATTTTCTTACCCAAGGCGATCCTTACCATGCATACTATGTACACAAAGTCAAAGACCTCAGGGAAAAAGCTGGTGAGTATTAATTGTATTGTGTTGTAGTACTTACATAAGTTTTTTATTTTGCTTTAGCACAAGAACCAACCTTACCACCTAAAGAAACAAAAAGCATGTCAACTGCTACCCAACTTAAACAACAAGAGCTTCTAAAACAAGTACAGGAAGCAATATTTGTACCAAAAGATCCGCCAAAAGAATTTGAATTCATTGCTGATCCTCCATCAATATCAGCTCTTGACTTGTATGTAGTAATAATTAACTTTTCTAATAAATATTAACCAATATATTTTGAAATTTCAGAGACATAGTGAAGCTTACAGCATTATTTGTTGCTCGTAATGGCAGACAGTTTTTAACCAATCTGATGGCAAGAGAACAACGTAACTTTCAGTTTGACTTTTTACGTCCACAACATTCACTATTTCAATATTTCACAAAGCTTCTTGAACAGTATACTAAAGTGTTGATGCCTCCTAAAGATCTTATGAAGTGTTTAAAAGAAGAAAGTTACGATCGACAACAAATTTTAGATGATGTCAAATATCGTTCTGAATGGCAAAAACACCAAGATGCTTTACGTAGAAAAGAAGAACAGCTTATAGAAAAAGAAAGATGTAAGTTTTAATTTTTATTAAGATACTCTAGCTTTTGATAATCTCATAAAATGCATATATTTTTCAGTGGCCTATGCTCAGATTGATTGGCATGATTTTGTTGTTGTTGAAACTGTTGACTTTCAATACGGTGAAATTGGCAATTTTCCTCCACCAACTACACCAGATCAAGTTGGTGTGCGTACATTGATGCAAGAACGTGTAGATAATGGAGAAGAAGCTGTTGAAATGAGTGATGCAGAAGACGATATGCAGGTAGACAGTGATGATGAAATGGAGAAACGAGTTAATGGTAGGATGTATGCACCAGAAAGTGAACTCAGAGTACCTGGTGAAGAGAAATCCAGTAGAGACAACAACCAGGTAATATTTAAAATTTTATATTTAAGTATTGAAACAGTGATTGGCGGCCAGTGCAGCTATTTTTATACGACCCGCTTTAAATTCTACAACTAACATTTAATTGAATATCTTATTAAAATAATCATATTGTATAAATATAACTGAAAGATTTAAGATATTAAATATTTTCAATTTCTCGTCAATCCGTTAAATATTGATGTTGAAGATATCCCTGTTGAGCTTCAAGTGGAAATAATAGTCACAAGATATCCTGAAAAACTCATTCAAAGCATCGCATCTACTCTTTTTCACTGAACTTCCTGCATAATTTTCAAAAATTAAAAATATAGCTGCAAAATACTCCAGTATGTTTGAATCCACTTATGTGTGTGAACAGGTCTTTTCTTATATGAAAAAAATTAAAAACTTGTACCCAACACTCTTAACTGATGACCATCTCTACCATGTACTTGTGAGCAGTCACAAGTAATTTGAATGTGGAAATTGAAAAAGTAATAAACAATATTCAACAACAAAAATCACATTAAGCATTTTACCAAACAGTTGTAATTTTCATACTTTTCAAGTATAATTATACAGTGAAACCTGACTTAACGGACACCTGTATATAACGGACACCTCTCTTAACGGACAAAATGACCAGGTCCCGGCAAAAAGATAGGCATTCTAATGTATTTCGACCTGTCTATAACGGACTCCTTCTATTACGGACACGGACACTAATATTTAATACAACAATTTCATATAACGGACAAAAATACATAGGATTTTCATATATGAGCGAATTAATTATCCATCACTAGTTGGAAATGACCAAATCGATGTTCAAAAAACAAACATCAATAGAATCATTTTTTAAGAAATAATTAATACATTTATACAAATATAATGTGTCATTGTATGTGTGTAATGTAAAAATAATAATTGTAATTGTAATAAATAATTAAAATTAAATTTATTGTGTATGTGTATAATGCATATAATATGTATGTACGTATAATATTAATAAAGATTAAAAACATTGAAACCTGTCTACAACGGACACCTGTCTATAACGGACAATTATTTTGGTCCCGTGACTGTCCGTTATATACAGGTTTCACTGTATTATAAACTAATTTTTATTTTTACATTATATTATTTTAAACTTTTTCACTTTTTTTTTTTTTCATAGTAAATGATTTCAGAATATACAATTTTTATTTTTATCTGACCCGCGAATTCTTTTAATTTGTAAATGTGGCCTGGGAGTCCAAAAAGGTTGCCAATCACTGTACTAAAACATTATTAAACTATTAAATTTAATTAAAAAAAAGGTTCAAGACATGGATGAATCATCCAGTGATGAAGGATGGTGATTTACCCACCAGGTGTTTCGAAATCTGATAGTCGTTCAAACCAATGGCTCAGCGGCTGTTCCAGAAAAGGTTATTGTGAAAAAGTGATACAATCCAAACAAAGTAAGATTTCATTTACCTGATATAAAACATGTATATTAGTTGTACTACTATTTGACTTTATATTTACAGTTGTTCGAGCACCAGTTAAAGCACCTCCTGAAGAATATTTAATATCTCCAATTACTGGTGAAAAGATACCTGCAAGCAAAGTCCAAGAACATATGAGGATTGGATTATTAGATCCCGTTGGTTAGAACAACGAGACAAGCATATCAGTGGATAAAATGAATCAGGACTCTGTATATGCTCCAGGTAACTTTTAAAAAAAAAAATATTTTATAATTTGTTTTTATAATTATTATTTCATCCATCTAGGAGCTGCTATTGAGGCTAGTTTAAAACAGTTGGCTGAACGTCGTACTGATATATTTGGCGTTGGTGTTGAAGAAACTGCCATTGGTAAAAAAATTGGGGAAGAAGAAAGTAGAAAAGACGATAAGGTAAGAAATAGAAATGTCTTATACAAAAATGTATTAAAAAGATAATTTGATTTTTTTAGGCTACATGGGATGGGCACACCTCTAGTGTAGAAGCTGCAACTCGTGCAGCACGAGCTAATATCACTCTAGAAGATCAAATTCACCAAATCCATAAAGTTAAAGGTCTAATTCATGATGATGAAAAAGAAAAAATTGGTCCAAAACCTGTATCAGGTACAGTAACTATTTCTCATCCACCTACTTCTCAAGCCGTTTCTGTACAAATGTCAATGGCTAGTAATATGCAAAACGCAATGATGCACCACAAATGCTCCTAACATGATGCAATCACAACCTATGATGATGGTTCAGCAACAACAACAGATGATGGGTGAGGTTAAAATTTAATTTGACTTGGAGACTATCTATTTAACTAATAAAATAATCTATTTATGTACCTATTAAATTTGTGACTCAAATTTTTATTGTTTCATACCTAAAATTAAGTAACTATTGAACTTTATTTTTACTTATACTTTTTAGTTATTTCAGATATTAAGCTCCTTATAATATATTATGTAGTTTATGTTTATCGTTGTGATATGTTTTGTAAAAAAACAAGATTTTATTGAAACATAATTTTTTTTATGCACAAAATCTTTTATAAATAATATTTATTCTTAGTTACTTATTAGTATTTATATGTTTTCAGTTCCACAACCTCAAGCTTATCAAGTAATGCAGCCCCAAATGCCACCGAATCCATTTTTGGGAGCTGCTAGAGGAATGATGCAACCTCCATTACCTCAGGGTCCAGTATGTTTACATTAATAATGTTTTACCATTAAATAATAAAAAAAGGTTCGGTTAATTATCGTACTTAAACTTTTTAATTAGCCTGGAATGAAGCACATATTGGAAATTGCTGAAGATGAACCGCTTATGAAGAAACAGAAGACTGAAGATTCTTTAGAACCCGAAATACAGTTTATGATGAAGTTTAATGTAAATTTATAGTTGAAATTACTATTTTAAAAATTTTAGAATCATCCACTAACCAATTATACATTTTAGGGTCCTGTCATGTTTAATGTTGGAACACCTGTTCTCACCGACAAACCAGAATGGGCCCTCAATGGACAGATATTAAATATAACATTACCACTTCAAGAAACGGTGTCTGTGATTAAGACAAAAATTCATGAGTTAACTGGAATGCCGCCTGGCAAACAAAAACTACAATGTGATGTATGTAAACAAATTCTAACTATAAAATTATGTACAAAAGTAATGAATTAAATTGATTTTAAATCATTTTTCTAGGGATTGTTCTTCAAAGATTCCAATACATTAGCTTATTATAATATAGGACCTGGTTCAACCATTCATTTGCAATTGAAAGAACGTGGTGGTCGTAAAAAGTAATCGTAAAAAAATGAAAATCATGTTATTTACTATTGTAATATTTGATTATATATAAATATATTTACTAATTATTCATTGCATAAAATAAAATATGTATTTAAGTATCAATAATGTTTTAATGTAAAACCATTTCTGTTTATAAATGTGTATTTTATATTCTAGTTGCAGATAGCACCTCTTATTAATAATATTATTGTACCACTGGAGTGAAAAATCTGAAAATAGCAATAATAAATTAGTATCATTTTTGTACAAATATGTGTCTTTGACTTACTTCATAAATCAAAAGTATCTTTATGAAGAGAAAAGCTAACTTGGGAGAGTGGCAGTGGTTACTACCGATTGAAATTAATTGATGCAGTAACTACATTTTGCTTTGAACAAGTCCACGTGCACCCTGCTATATAATAATAATAGTAATTTATTTATTTATTGTAACCAAACATAATATATACATTATGCATATTAATTAAATAAAAGGTATTAGTCCCTTATAAGCTATAGCTTGTAGTGGGAAATATAGTTCTATTGTTTTACATAATAATAATAATAATAATAATAATAATAATAATAATAACAATAATCAGTACATTTATTTAATCATATAAGAAATTATAAAATATAAATTAATAAATAAAAATACTATTTAATAATATAACAGTATATGAATAACATAAATAAACTAGAGTTGTTTAGATGAAGTAGGTAATATAATATAAGATAGCAGTAAGTTTGTAGAAATATTTTAAACTAAAAACAAAGTAATGCATTTATAATATTAATTTATTCATACAGTTCTTACACATAATAAAATTTTGAAAACTTAATATATTAATGTTGAATTGAATACACAAGTCAATTCCAACCTTTAATGGGTTCATTTTACCAAAATTGGAGTTACAAGTATACTTGGCCAAATTAATTCATGATTTGTTGGTCTAAGTTAATGTTTATATTGAAAGGTTAGTAGTAATGAGCGTTTTTTATAAATTTGGTCTAAGTTTTGGATATTCAAGGCTTTATGGATATTAGTATTAATATTAACTGATGGTATGTTTAGAATATATTTAATTAGTCTGTTAATTGTTTTTAATAAATTGCGTAAATGAATATTGTAGGTGGAGTACCAGAATTCAATACCAAAATTTAAGATTGATTGAACTAGTGATAAATATATAATGCATTTGTGTTGTGTCCTACATATGTATCTAATAGTAATATCCTTTAGGATATTAAAGAATTTTCTGATAGTTTTTATTAAGACATTTAAATGGGTATACCATTTCAAATTATTGTCATAAAATAACTCAAGATATTTTATGTTATCTACTTCTTCTAATAAGTAACAATTCAAAATACAATTTGAGGAATTACAAGATGATGAATGAATAAATTTTTTTTTCTCATGTATAATATGGATAGTATTATTAATTCTGAAACGCATATATTTAGTTTTAATAAATTTATATCGAACCATGATTTACAATAATGTTTGACTTAGTAAATAGCTATAACTTAAAATGACTATAAAAATAAACTGTGGTTATGTATTTTTTAGATTTTTTGGTAACGGAATGAAATACTTACGTGGACTCTTGTTTTAAATTTTCAATCCTTAGATATAAAAGTTGAACATTTTATAAATTATTAACTACTAAATAATTATTCAATTTTAAATTTTTATAAATTTTGTCAAAATTCGATCTTTAAATTCTTATAAAAAAAATTTTAGCTATGTATTTTAAATATTTTTCAACTGATATTGTAACAATATATCAGGAGCCTTATAAAAATTGAAAACTGAAAATGTCCGTAAACAGCTCAAAAAGAGTCAAAATATTTTCAAAATTGTATGGTGTATAGGTGTGAAACACTAATATAAACATTCAGTGAAATTTTCATGTATCTACAGTTATTCGTTTTTGAATTAAAACAAAATAAGGAAATCGCTACATCAGAAATCGAGTGAATATCCAATGTTGTAAAAATTTGAATTTCAAACGCTCATAAAAATTTAATTAGACTTTCTTATAGACAATTTCTTTTTGGTAAATTTAGATAATCTTATAAGGAATCTTGTATTACATTTTAAAACCTTAGATTTAAAAAGAAAAATTTTTATAAATTCTTAACTCAAAATACTTTGCTAATTTTCGTGATTTTTCCATATTTTGCCAATTTTTGAACTTTAAATGATTATAAAAAAAATTGTGACTAAGGATTTTTAATATTTTTCATCTGCCTTTGAAACAATATACTAGGAGCCTTCTATTAAATGTTCAAGCTTTTTTAACCAACAAATAAAATTTTATTGATATTTTTAGAAATAAAACTTAAAAAAATGGAAAATGAAAATGTTTCTAAACAGTTCAAAACAAATCATAATGTTTTGAAAATTTCATCGTGTAAAGAAAATGCAAATATAAACAACCAGTGAAAATGTCATGTACCTATATACATTCATTTGTTTTAGAGTTAAACCAAAAACCAAAATCGATTTTGTGGAAAACATCCATTTTTTCCTTAATTGTTATGTTGTTTTTCCCGGCGCTTGTGGAAACTATTGAGAGTTTTAAAATTCGACCCGAATGCACCAACTAGATTCACTTTCCCATCGAACAAGATACTGTTGAAGAAAATCTAAGCAGTTTTACTGCCCCAAACCATGATGACAGACACAAAAAAAAATATGAAAAATAAAAAAAAAAACACATTATTGTAAAATCAATACCATTCATAGTTTCACTCAGAATACAAAATATTTTAGAGGTTTTAAGAAATTTTCTTCAAATTATCACATTTAATTATTTTATATAGTGATATTATTGGTAGGTTCAGTTTCTATTTTATAATAGGTTACCTGAATTACATTTTTTTATTTAAACCCCGGTAGTCGAGTTTTGGACAAGTAGGTACCTACATAGTACATAGGTAACTTATAATAATTCATATTGTAATTTAATTAGGTGCCAAAAAAGTATAACATCACAAACACTGAGTCTAGAGGAACTGCCGGTATATAATGCATTCGAATGATAGAATGTCTATAAACTTGCGGACCATGCAGTTTTGCATACTTAAATTTGGCATGCGAACTATAACTGAAATAGAAAACCAGAATATAGGTACGTTGCTGATCACAAAGATTTCTGTAAAAGTACATACGATTTATCAATAGACCGTATAGATACTGAGTATAATATATAAGTTCTATGGATGTATCATAGTAATTAATAATATATTTTATAATAATCTCTATGGCAATCGTCAATTGTCGACATTCGTCAGTGACGATTAACAATTCTCATAATTTCAGTGAACAAAAAAATAATAAGCGATCGATATAATCGGACGGTTTGTTAAGCTGTATATATTATAATGTAAGTTTAAGCACAATCTCGCACATTTCGTTATGATCAGTTTATTTTCATAAAATAATTCGATACTTTCAAGTTTCAGTTCGGAGTGAGATGAAGATGGATGAAGATAGCTGTTTCTTCGGTGACGGCGGCACTCTAGCTAGGTTTCAGCGGAAGAGTCGATGTCTACGCGTAAGTTTTTTTTTCATATTATTGCTATTTTAGTATTTTACATTTACTTTAAGACTTAAATTAAATATTTATTGCCACGGACAATCTGTTAACTGGGTGACGTAGAAGCGTTTATAAGTTTAATCCTAAAAAACGCAATGTATAAAATACGCAAGACCGAACAGTCTATAGGCCGTCTTCGTTTCACCACTCCAAGTTTAATACACCGCCTTGAAGTTAGCCCTTACACTTTTTCAAAAAAAGTTTTGCATAGTGCCTTTATTTTTCAAGTAATTAGTTTAATACTTACCTTTTTGCATATACTATAAGCCGAGTATCACCTAGGTTTGCGGGAAGTATTTAAAACAATATAATGTTATCAATCTTTATATTTTATATACATAAATATAGTATAAACCTCATGTATTTCATTAGCATACTTACACCTTTTTTTAGTGTAGTTTATACCCTAGATGGTTAGACATAGGTATTAAATGTTTTGCAATTCTATATTTTACTATAATTATTATTTTTCATTTTAATATAATATAACAATACACTTTAAATTAAAATAATTTTTTCGAGAAATATATGTAATATTATGTATAGCTCAAATAATTAAGAATTTATAGTTAATAGAAATGCGAATGCTTATACTTCATAGATATTTTTTTATTGAAATCTTGTTAATAATTTGATTAAACAATCGGGTACCCATCGGCCATCACTAGTATTAATTTTTTATATTACGTGTAAAATCACCGGCACAAGGTGCAGACTGCATTTTAAAAATAAAATTATGAAAACAGTTTTTGAAAGGAACAAGATTACCTACTAATAATAATTAAGTTTTAATTATTATTAACAAATAAAATACAAACAATAGATATTTTAATAGCTTTTTACTATGATTAACAATCAGTGTGAATATTATATTATGTTTCTGATCGACTTATATGTAAGTACCTTCTATATAATAATTATTCATATAAAAAAAATCCTAACATATTAATGCAAGGATTCTCATAAATTGATCTTACAGCAGCCTTAAAACACCAAAAATACATTGTAGGTACATCATTTATGCACTACACCTACCAAATAAAAATTTTACAATATTTTAGTTAGGTACCTATTGTTGTGTAGGTACTAATACAAACAATAAATATTATTATTTGAAAACGCAATTTCGTATACCTATTATTATTTACTAAATACCTACAACTAAACTAAAAATAAACATATGATTACATTCTGAGTGCCTATAATATAATATCGTATATAAAAACTGAATTTTTCTTACGAATAATTATCGTTTACACAGACCACAAGAAAAATTAATTTAAAAAATCGAAAAATTAAAGAACACATCATTGTAAAATGAATACAGTAATCGATCCGCTCAGAATCTAAAATCTAAAATATAGATGATAAATTTAAAAGTAACATATTAAATCATTATTATTAATT